TGGCATGATTCTGGAGCACTGATCCAAATATGGACCGCTTCCGGTCTCCACTCCTGAATCTCTTAAAACACACCATTGTCTCTCAAGTTGATAATCCCAACTAATCATAAGGTTATAGCCAGCATTTAATGCGTATGTTCGTTGGCAATTACACTATATAAAAATGGGCAGTCACCTCCTAGTAAATAAGCACACACGAAAAAGGCACACAATCACTCTCAAATTGGGGAACGACTGATATTGTGCCCCTCAGTTTGGTTTCCAGTTTTATTTGCAGAGATATATCCACGACCTCCATGATCTTCCGTTTTCTAGTTTTCTCCCCATGTGAGGTCAAGCTTTCAATTGCGCTAAAGTCAATTGTGTGGCGGGTCAAGGTGATGTGTTCAATTATCTCCGATCCTTTTATATCAATTTTATGCATAGTCGCTGATGTTTTTTGGTCCCTGTGCTGAGTGTCCTTACAGTTTCTCCTGTCTACTTTTGCTTAAAATCCTTATAGTTTATGATGGCAACACCGAATCACTCAATTTTGTTGACTGCTTCATTTTGTGTAGGCAAGTCAGAAGAAGGGCTTGCACTTTTCTTTAAGATTGTACTAATATTCCGTTTCAATAGTAGCGGTCGCAGCTTCCGAACCAGTTCACAGGAGAGTAGAAATATTAGACATTTTTCATCTGTTTCCACTGAGTTCGTTTTGTAATCTTCCAGTAAAGCCAATCGACAGCTAGTCAAGAGGAATCCAGCGTCGTCTTCTGGTGGAACCGACCTTCGAATTTCTTTACCCAACACTTTCACTCGAAATGGAAGTAAGCTCAGCAATTAGGAAACAAGAGAGTCCTCAAAACCCAACTTTGCTTCGCATGATCATAAGAAGCCTACAACTCAGTGATTCTGAGTTCTGAGAAGATTAGCTAAAAATCTAACCTAGATGTGTCCTGGAAACGGATGTACAAATGAAGTAATACGACGCAACAGACGAATCGTAATGATAACATTGCAGGACGAGGGTTATAAAAGGAAATTAAATTAAGCAGTTGAAAGATGTCTGATATGTCTACCCTCCTACGAACAATCCTGAAGAAAAGTACAAGCCCTTTATATAACTTGCCTACAAAGAATAAGGAAGTCGACAAAATTGAGTGATTCGGTGTTATCATCATAAACTATAAGGATTGTAAGCAAAAGTACACAGTAGATACTGGAAGAACACTCAGCACAAGGATCAAAGAATACTAGTGACTATGCAGAAAATGGATACAGAAGGATCGAAAATAGTTGAACACATCACTCTGACCCGCCACACAATTGAGTATAGCGTAACTGAAAGTTTGGCTTCACATGGGGAGAACACAAGAAAACGGAATATCATGGAGGTCGTGGATATCATTTTGTAAATAGTCTTGGAAACCGAGCTGGGGAGCACAATATCAGTCATACCCTAATTTGAGAGTGATTGTGTGTCTTTTTCCTGGTTTCTCATTTAGTCAGAGGTGACTGCCCATTTATGAATATGAAAATTGCCAACGAACATACGCATAAAATGCTGGCTCTAACCTTAGGATTAGTTGGAACTATCAACTAGAGATACAGGGGTGTGTTTTAAGAGATTAAGGAGTAGAGAGACCGGTAACGGTCCATCTTTATACTCAAAATGCACACTCATGCAGTTCAGCTAGATATGAGATTATGGAATTGCGGTAAATGATGGAAAGCGGTTGACATGAAGAATTATTGTAAAATACAATACAAATACTGGTCGAAAGTTTAACCTACGTTTGTGGGACGCATTGTTGGGCAATATTTTCTGACCTTTGCTCAGCAAATATCGCAAATAATGAGGTATAAAACACAATTGTAAGTTCACTCTTATCTATATGAATATTGTTAGGGCCAATTTTAAAACGGTGTTGTTGGTATTTCTGATTAGAAACATAGTATCTAAACCAGGTAATCGTCAGCAATAATTTTGTGTTCTGCTTGAGTAAACATTGAGATTCAGCGAGGACATCAAAAATAAAAAGCTTGGGCACAGGAAAAAGGCTCAACAACAGGAAGAGACATCACCAAAGAGCAGCTTATGATAAACAAATGAAAGGCAACTGCAGTGATAGGAGTAAGACGTGGAATTTGAAAAAAAATTTACCCAAGGGTTCACCTGTGAGATGAGGGATATGAAATTAAAGACTATAGTTATATGTGGGCCAGATATAGGTCACCCATGTGCGTTCGCAGGTGTTGTGTGCATTTTTCGTATCTGTGACTGAAATGGAGGTGACGGGTGATATACGTGACCATGGGGAATACCAGCCAACAGACACACATAGACAACATCC